GATATTCCATCCATGTTATCTGCCAGAGTTAGTTACCCAGAAATCAGAGGATATTCCCTCTGATATTACACCTGTAGGCCAGCTATATAAGGCCATCATCATATAATGAAAGCAATGAATGATTCTCCTTTAATTTTCTTCTCCCTGAGTCCAGTTTATTCTTTCCTTCCATTCTCCTTTTTTCTCTCCATCTTCTGTTTCAGGAGGTCAAGCCCCTTCGAAGAGGCTTCCGAGGTGAGTGGAAACTCACTAGAGAGCCATTGAAACTTCTTCCCAACCTTGACTCTTGCCTTCTGAGGAACACAGCATTGGTTTTCCCTCATTTCCAAACAACTCAATCAACACTGAAAAACTTCCTTTCATGTTTTCCTTTCTCTCCACAACAAACTTCCTCTCCCCTTCCGATGTAAATCTTTTCCAATCAACACCCCTTCTAGAATGAACAAATGGCCTCATCAACACACACTTTGAACCATTCAATCACCTTCCTAACTAAAAATACAGTCGCCATCTTTAACTCTCTAATTTTCAGAATAACCAAACCCTTAACCTCAGCCTCTTCCTAAAGGAAAGTTTTTCTTCCTATCTTCAATCCCCATCCTTAATGGCTTTATAAAGCTGAACTTTGACGGGAGTATTGCAAAGAACCCAAGTCCTCAAGTATTGGTGGTATTTTCAGGAATGAGGAGGACAGCATTGTTGGCTATGGGTGAAGGGGATTCATTAAGGGCTGAGATATTGGCTATGATAGAAGGAGTGCAAAGACCAAAGGATATGAACATCAGTAAATTGATTATAGATGGAGATTCAAAGCTGGTGTTGGGATGGTTGCAAAAGGAAGAAGCTGGACTATGGAAATATAACAACGAAACAAGGATTAAAATTTTGTCACATATCAGGGGCCCCCCGATACGCCCCTACACAAGGTGTTTTGGGGTCCCACCTATTTCAGGGGGTAGATGGGCCTTTAACCAACTCCCCTGAACAAGTTTCAAAGAAAAACTTTAAAAACAAAAGAAGAGCAAGCCAAGATACAGCCCGATACGCCCCTACCAGCGTATCGGGCTGTACCGATATTTTGAACCTTGCAATGAAAGGAAGAAATTTAAATGGTTGACACAAGGCATGGATGTGAGAATTAGTTTTGTTAAAAGGCCTTTTTTGGTGCTTGTCTCCTAATTTGTGCATTCTTTGCAAGGCTAATGGTGAAAGCTCCTACCATTTATTAATTTCTTGCCCTATTGCTTCTGATATTTGGGACTGATTTCTTTCTCCATTTGGTTGCAGCTGGAACCCACCACCAGATATTCAAAGCTTGTTTAATTCCGCTTTCCTTAGGCCAAAGAAAAAGGGACGGAGTATGTAGAGGTGTATGCGGGCTGCCATATGCTGGACTTTACGGGAGGAAAGGAATCCCAGGACATTCTCTGAAAGTGAAAGGAATAAAGAAGGTATTATTGAAGTAATAACAGTTACGGTGGTGCATTGGTTGAAATCATTGGACCTGTTTGATGATGTCTCTATGGGGATGTTGCCGAACGGCTGGATGGAGGTGGCAAACTCTGCTCCTGCTCGTTCATCTATGTGTCCTGTGTGGTCACCACCAGGCTTTGGTGTTATATAGTTAAATTTTGGTGGAAGCAATGAGGGCATTCCAGGTCCTTCAAGTGTAGGAGGTGTCTTCAGAGATGAGAATGGGAAGGTGATTGCAATGCATTCAGATCCCACTGGGGATGGGGACTCTCTTAGAGCTGAGGTTTATGCTGTACTAGAGGGTATAAGGAAGACAAAGGAACTGAATATACAAAAGCTTGTTGTTGAAGGCAACTCTAAGCTGGTATTAAGCTGGCTACAAAAGGATAATGAACTGTGGAAATTTGCTAATGAGAGGAGGGAAATTAAATGGCTAACTAGGGGGCTGGAAATCCAGTTTCAGTGAGTGAAGAAAACGGCAAATGCTTTTGCAGATACTTTGGCAAAGCAGTGGGTGGGAAGGGATCAAATGTTCATGGCTGTATTGTAAGTTTTTATATTGTTCTTTGGGGGAGAGTTAAGTCTACCTCTCTCTGCAGTGCTGTAATTAATTTTTAATTAATATGATGTGAATTTGTTACTGATCAAATAAAAAGTTAGTTGGGTTAAAAGAACAGCTAATAGTTTTGTTGATATTTTGGCAAAACAAGGGTTGGGAAGAAATCAATTGTTTTGTGCACAATTGTAACTATTCTATTAATTTTTGGGGAGAGTTAAGAGTTTTTATCTCTCCTCCATTGTAATTTATTTATTCTGTTTTAATTTAATCTGAAGTTATTGATCCAAAAAAAAAAAAATCTTCGTCCTCCATGAGCTTGTTCATAGCTTCAGAATAACCAAACTTGGCCATCATATTTCTCTCAATCTAACCATTAGAAAACCCCAGTTAACTCTACTTTTCTAAATTTTTTGGCCAATGTACTTCAGTAATAGGGGGCATTGCTTGGTCTAATGGTAAAATCTCAAGTCAACAAGTGTAAGAACGTGGGTTTGATTCAGATAGCAGCCACTTTGTGCAAAAAAGAAATGCCCATGGTTAGGTTTGTATCAAGTCCACCCCTCCCAAGACCCCAAATAGCTTTGAACCAACATCAGGTATTATACTATTATACTAGTATAGATATAAGTTGATGTGTTAAATAAATAATAGTTAAAAAGCAGTCAAGTCGAGATTCTTTCATCCTCTAGTAGGAACAGTATGGGAAAAAGAATGGAAATTCTTATCTCTTTTAGTACCTTATTGAAACGGCACAAACTAATAAGCAACTCTTCCAGCTTATTAATAAACATCATTCTCAAATTTTCTGGCACAGCACCACCTTCAGGACCTAAATAAAGGAGGAAAACATTGTTTTAACAGCAGAAGAAATGCATAAGGAAAACATTGTTTTAGCAAATGAAGAAAATGCATGTGCATAGCCAAGTCAAGAGAGGCCATCTTCTGCTCCACTGAAAGCATGATAGGTGACAAAAAAGGGAGATCAATACAATAATTCATGCATCCTATAACCACTGCCTTAAAAACTAGACCAACCCATATTTCAAACCATTTGGACCAGTGAGAAGACCTTTTATCAGTTTGGTTTGGGATTTGAATTGAGATGACATAAAAAAGAGTGCTGAACCACACAGAATTTTATAAAATTTTAACCAGATGTGTCAGGTCATTCTATACTCAGGGATCAATGTAACAAAATGAGAAAAAAAAAAGATATTTTTGTTATTTTTCCCTCTTAATATCTCTCTTGTTTTCATTTATTTTCAGAAATGAAGTAGAATGTATGAGAATTATCTTTTCCCTTTTTTGCTTGAAAATGTTCTCCTTTTAGAAACAAAGGAATCAGGGAAATAGATGACTAACAGAGAGGGGAAAGGTTGAAGGAGTGATAAAGGGACAGTGTGCAGGGGGAAATAAGACACCACAGCCTCTCCATCACTGATCCATTGACTGACACACACTGAGAGACAGAGTGAAGGACCAATCAGCAATCTGTTAGCCTGCAGACCCTGCACATGTACATGCATGCATATGCACGTATACATGCATGAAACCCTCCTCTCCAATGCATACACACAGGCTGCATAGAGAGTGGACCCAGATCAGATATACCTAGATCCAAATCTAGTTCTATTTTCAGATTTAAATGGGAATTGGATATTATATATTAGGAATAAATTAAAATAAAAAGAATGACCAGAATAATTACAATATTAATAAAATAGACTAGGAATAGCTTTGATATTATATTTATGATTAAAATGACTTAAAAATAGCTAGTATGAAAATTAAACCTATGACCCTTGGGGGAACTTCAACATTCAAAATGGGGAACTTCAACATTCAAAATCAAATCAACATTTTTTTATAAGTAAAATTCACATTTACTACCAATGAGAAATAAGCATTACAAGTGAAGAAATAGTTGGTTAGCCATGAGAGTGGGGTTCCATACCCACACTCAGGCTCTAGTGTGTGTGGTTTCATACCCACACCTAGTTGTTTCTAATTTCTTTTATTAGAAGTTTCTAATTTCTTTCAAGTTGGGCCGGCTGGTCTTATTGTTTCTAATTTTTGTTTATTTCCTATTCTTGTAAGGAACCTAAAGCTATAAATAAAGAAGTGTATGGGGCGGCAGATCATTAACTACTGAATCGCTTCTTTCTTTTCTCCTCTCTTCACTCTTCTCTCTCTCTCTCTCTCTCTCTCTTTCTTCTTCTCTTCGAACCTGTATTACTGCTCTAATACAGTAAACAGTTCTTCTTCTTCTTCTTTCAAGTTGGTATCAGAGCCTTCGATCAAGGGTTTCTCATGTGGATTTAATTCAGCCAACCACATGAGAATTGTTTAGGGATGAAAGTTCAGAAAGATCCTTACTTCGGCTGATTCTTGGAGGTTGCAAGAAGGCTTTAGCAGCTGTCCTAAGATTGGAGAGAGCTTCTTGTAATCAGGAAGAATCAGGTAGGAATTGAGTGATCAAGATCAATTCTTGATCAAGATTGGAGGTGCCGATCAGCTTTTTTTTGGTTCTTTGATCAAGATTCAAGGTGCTGACAGTAATCGATTGATCGAGTTTGAAGACTGAAGGTAGCAATCAGTTTTCTGGGCATTTTTCTTCATAAAGTAAGTACCTTTTCTTGAGATTGATACTCAAAAGGACTTTGTTATTCATTCGGAGAGGTACAGATAGAAAATCTCAGGACTGATATCAATCCCAAGACAGTAGTTGACTGTTATCTAACTGCAAAATCATTGTCCTAGGTTGGCTGTTATTAGCCTTGGAATACAGTTTTTCTTGTCACAGTAGTTTAAAGCCTCTTCTTAACATAGAATGGAGTACAAGAACCAAGGGGAAGGTGCTTTTAGGACTGGTGGTTCAGGTAACATGACTGAAAACACCTTTCATATTACAACTGTTAAGTTTGAGGGATCAAACTACTTGGAATGGGCCCAATCAGCCATGATGGCTATTAGGGGTAGAGGAAAATTGAACAACTTGCTAGGGGATGTGAAGGAACCCTCCAAGGAGGACCCTACTTATGCTAGGTGGGTCCAAGAGAATTTTATGGTGATGACATGGTTGTGCAACTCTATGCAGCCACACATCAGCCGAAACTACTTATGGGCCAAAACAGCTAAGGAAATATGGGAAGTTATGAAGGAAACCTACTCTCAGCCCCTTAATGTTGCTAGGGCTTATGAGCTAAAATGTGAGGTTAAAAATCTGAGGCAAGGAGCGAAGCAAGTCTTTGTTTACTTTTCAACCTTAAAATCCCTGTGGCATGAAATTGACCATCTTGAAACAATTGAGTGGGAGAGTCAGAAAGATGCACAAACATATAGATTGCAGATTGAAACTAACAGAGTTTTTGAGTTCGTAACTGGTCTGAATTCTGAATATGATATTGTGAGACAGCAGTTGTTGACAAGAGATAGTGTGACTTTATCACAAGCCTATTCCCTAGTGCATAGTGAATAAACTAGGAGAAAGGTTATGTTGCAACAACCCCCCTCCGAATGAGCCTTGGCAGCAATTAGACCTAAATCTAGGGGAGATAAGGAGAAGAAGGAAGCTAAGAAGGACTTAGTATGTGAACACTACAAGAAACCTAAACATACTAAGGACACCTGTTGAAAGTTGCACCCTGATCTAGTTCCAACAAAGCTCAAAAATAAGAAAGGGAATGCTAATATGGTTGTCAACACTAATAGTACAACTTCATCAGGCACAAGAGGCACTCCTCTAGATACCCTAGCTGCAGTCCGAGCTGCTCTGACTCAGCTAGAAAATGAATTTAGTAATTCAGCTCAGCCTACTTCAGCCCTTGCTCATACAGGTACAAGAGCTACTGCTTGCGATGCTTCTATCCCAGGTAATACTAGACCTTCCTGGGTAATAGATTCAGGTGCTTCAGATCATATGACCAGCATATCTACTCTATTTAGCACCTATTGTTTATCCTCTGGGAGAGACAAGTTTCTATTGTTGGTGGCTCTCTTGTACCAATTTCTGACAAGGGAGACATCAGATTATCAGATACCATCACCCTATCCTCAGTTTTGCATGTTCCCAAGCAGAGTGCTAACTTACTTTCAGTTAGTAGTATTACTAAAAGTCAAAACTGTTCGGTAACATTTTTTCCTGATCAGTGTATTTTTCAGGATCTGGAAACGAAGAAGGTGATTGGGATTGGTCGTGAAATGAATGGAGTCTACCTGTTGGAACATTCACAAAGGGAGCAGAGTGAAGTAAGGAAATTGTTTGTTTCTCAGTCTTGTAGTAAGATTATGCTTTGGCACAACCGCTTAGGTCATTTATCTTTTGGGTCTTTAAAGAGTCTTTTTCCAAACTTGTTTGAGTTAGTAGAAGTGTCTGGGTTAAAATGTGAAAGTTGTGAACTTGCAAAACATAGTAGATCATCTTATCCTTTAAGTAATAAAAGAAGCAACCTTCCTTTTGAGATTGTGCATACCGATGTTTGGGGGCCCTACCATACTCCCACCATGGGGGGGTGCAGATATTTCTTATTATTTGTTGATGACTATACCCGTTTTTCATGGGTCTATCTTATGCACTCTCGAAATGAGGTCCCCTCTCTGACCCAAGTTGTCCATCAGATGATCCTAACTCAATTTGAAACCAAGATCAAGATTCTTAGATCTGATAATGCCAAGGAATACTTTGCAAAACCTTTGGCATCCTATCTCCTTGATCATGGGATCATTCATCAGAGCACCTATCCTCACACACCTCAGCAAAACAAGGTTGCTGAGAGAAAAAATAGGCAAATTTTAGAGATAGCCAAAAGCATCATGCTCAACTCCAATGTTCCCATATGCTTCTAGGGAGATGCAATCCGTACAGCCATATACCTCATTAACAGGGTTCCTTCACGGGTCCTAAACATCCAAACCCCGTTCAATCTTCTATATCCAGATAAGGACCTATTCACTATTCCCCTCAAAACTTTTGGGTGTACTTGTTTTGTTCAAATCCTTTGACCTCATTGCTCCAAGTTTGATCTCAAAGCCACTAAGTGTATTTTCCTTAGGTATGCACAAAATCAAAAGGGATATTGCTATTATGAGCTAGTTTCAGGGAAGCGCTTTGTGTTCATGGATGTAACCTTCTTTGAGGATAAGCCCTACTATCACAAGGCTTCTCCTCAGGGGGAGAATAGTGAGGAAGGGATTTCAGTTTCAGCTCCAAGAGTTCATTTACCTGTCCCGGTTACTGAGGGGGGGAGTTGCAAAGAAGGATGTCAAAAAATGCAGGGAGTTGAGAGTGTATCACAGAAAGTGGTGGAGGCAGGTTGATTCTCGTACTCAACAGCAATCTAGGCCAGTTCCAACATCTTCTACAGCTCCAGATCCAGACACTACTACTACTCCCACTGTTGATCCCACTGTTACAGATGTTCAGCCATCATCGACAGATGACCTTGATCTTCCAATTGCTATTCATAAAGGGAAGCGTCGTTGCACCTCATCCACTGCCCATTGCATCTCCAAGTTCCTTTCATATAATTGTCTCTCAAAATCCTACAGATCTTACTTGGCATCTATTTCTGCTATTCCTATACCCAGAAAAGTGCAAGAAGCTCTTTTGATACCTGAATGGAAGGAAGCAATGCAAGTAGAGATGGATGCTCTT